CTGCCCCATTGAAGTGCGTGTTCACAAAGTGAAGGGGGGATGAAAGCCGGAGCAGGGTTTCTTGGGTGGCCACGTCTTCCTCCTCCTCCTCTGAGTCCAGGGCTTGCCTCGAGAGAGTTTGGGGGGCGCCCAGCACAACTTCCGGAGCGGCCAACTCTGCTTCTTCTCCTTCTCCTAGCTCCCGGCTCAGGGCCTCCTCTGGCTCACTTGGCAGGCTCTGCTGGTCCAAATCTGTATGGAGAACAAAGGGTTCAGAATGGGTGCGCCACTGATTGGCTGTAGCGGCTGATCAAGTCAAGCAGACACACTGAAGCCCTGGAACTGGGTCAGGCACCAGGTGTTAAGGTTGTATATGTTTAAGAGTACAATCAGTTACAAAAACAGAACAACAAAAAAAAGAACAGTAGAATCAGTTGTTCATATAAGACATTTATGGGGAACCAAAGAGCTTGTGACAACCAACGTTGTCTAACAAGCAGCAGAAATATCAAGAACGGCAGTGTGTCCCCTATACCTTCGGAGACATCGGTCAGCTGTGGAGTTGTTGCCCGGGACACAGAGAAACCACCACTCTCCAAGATAGAAGCCTCCTCATCTGAAAGCTCAGAGTCTGTAATGGCCAAGGCCAGTGCTGTTTTCTTCACATCCACCTGCAGAACATAGATGAACACAACAGGTGAGGGAACCAGAGAACCAATTTCCCAGGAGTACCACTTCCCTCTAAACTTCCGGCTCCTCCCATCCCCCACCCCACCCCACCCCACCCCAGAGAGGAGGCAGTGGTGAAGCAGACGAATCTTCCCCCTCCCCACTCTGGGGACCTCACCACTGGGGGGAAGCCAGCCAGCTCTGCCTCACTTTCGCTCTCGGTCTCTGCCAACGGCTCATCACCTCCTGGGGGAGTGCACTTCCCCTGGCGCTCTGGGGAAGCAAGAGCAGTGGGGGTACTGAGTCAGCAGGCACCCATGGTGGCGACACACAGCCAAAGAACTGGACTTTGGATCCCAGGGCATTTCATGATTCAAATCCCCCTCCACACCACCTCCCGCCTGTGCCCCTTACTCCTCTTGTCGTGTTTGTGGTGCAGGGCATCGGCTTCCGCCTTCATGCTGTAGTCCAACTGCATGAGCAGGGGCTCAAGGCGAGTATACATTCTCTGGATCAGCTCATGATACACCACCAGGGGCCACAGCAGGATACTCAGCACTACAGGGTAGAGTCCACTCAGTTTCCTACTCCCACTCCCCAGGAGCCCTCATCCAATGGTCTCTAAGCAGCAGGGCTGAACAGGCAGACAAGGCCTTCTCCCAAGGCTGTGCCAGTCTCTCGTCCTCCATGCCTGCTGCCCTCCTCCCTGAGGACTCGCCCACTGTGAATACTACTATAGCATTATTGGAGGCCTCACAAACTAGGAGCTGAGTAGTGCACAGTGTGGGGCAAAACAAAATGAAAGAATGGGAAATGGGAGGACTCTGGGCAGGGCAGAACTGGTGCTACTCACAGACAATGTAGGAGATCATGATCCCGGGCACATAGTGTCCCAGCACGGCCAGTACGGCGCAGCCAGAGCAGACTCGAGCACAGAACTGCAGGGGAGAACACACAGGCACCGCAGTCCACTCACCTGGCTGGGAAACCAGTGCTTGGCAGGTGGGGGAGGGGAACGTTCACTAGGGATGCAGAGACCTGCTCTAGCCCAGAGGAGGCCTGGCACCACCTGCTCAGGGAGTCTGCCAGGAAAACCACCAAGCACCCATAATTTTCTTTTCTTTTTTTTTTTTTTAAAGATTTATTTTTATTATTTTTTCATTGGAAAGGCGGATATACAGAGAGGAGGAGAGACAGAGAGGAAGATCTTCCGTCCGATGATTCACTCCCCAAGTGAGCGCAACCAAGCACCCATAATTTTCAATGGTTTGCCCTGGCAGGAGAGTGTCAGCAGATCACAAAGTTACTCTATGAGGTGAGCCACAGAGGCTGCAAAGTTGCCCCGTCCCTTCCTCTGGGATCTCCAATCCTGACACATCTACATCATTTCTCCTCCATTCCCCAGCCTCTATTCCCCCACAGCGTAGAAACCCACTGTTATCAACCAGGACAGAGGAGGGACAGATTACCTGAGCTGGATTCTGCCTCTTGTACTGCAGCAGCTCCTGCAGGTGAATCTGGAAGGTGAGCCAGCTCTCAGCCAGGTATCTGCACAACTCGGGCACACTCAGCAGGTGCGGCCGGGCGCCTGACCCCGCACCCTCACTGGGGAAACAGGACACAAGCCCTGGAGGCCTCAGACCCTGGCTTCCCGGGCACTCCTTCGAGAATATCAGTGACACCCTGAAGGCAGCAGACAATCCCACCTCCCACAGGGAGGCTGGCTGGGCCCAGGAATGCCAGGCACAGGGAGCCCAACCCTCTGCCCAGAGAGGACCACCTCAGGGAGCCTAGCACCCAGCAGTCCCCAGATTCCGACCAGTACACTCATTATGCTGGGACTGTGACTGCAGGGGCTGCAGTACCACCCCATATGAATCCTAGCAAGTAAGACAGGATTTGATGGTGGTCTTCAAGAGGTATTTCTCTGCTCACCTGTCAGAGTGTGGCTCTTCTGGGGAGGACGCTAGAGAGACAGAGAAAGGGACAATCACTGAGTGGTGGGGTCCTCTCACCTGTAGTCGTCACCAATCACAGAGGGTTTCATGTGTTACGGTCTGTCTCCTTTAGACTTCACCTTCTTCATTTTACTAGGATATACACCCAAAGTACACCACACTCAGCCCGGCACCTAATTGCTCCAAGATACCTACCTGCAGATATACAGACAGCAACAACAATGGGCTAATGTTACCCCTGACATCCATCTTACATGACGTAATACCATGAGACGCGAGGAGTATTATCTCATTTAATCTTCACCTGCGTAAGAAGCAAGTTCTATGCTCCCTACTTCACAGATAAGGAAAGGGAGGAAAACAAGGATCCAGAAACAATGTTTCACACACAATAAGTGGCAGATCCAAGCAACTTTGTTGCAAACTCTACAGTCTTAACCACTCACTATCGCCCTTCCCTGCTTCCCCACTCCCCCTCCACCTCACTTTTGGGAAAGGGACAATTCTCATCTGAGACAGCTGTCCTAAGACGAGGAGCAGAGGTGAGGGGAGGGGGGAGGAATTCACCCCTCACTATCCAACTCCACCCAGGAGGCGAAAGAGCAAGCACACAATGGCTGCTTGTTGATTGCATAAAGGAATACTCACCTGCAACCTCGGGGAGAACGCGTGGCTGCCAAAGATCCAGGAGAAAATAGGCCAAAAGTGAGACGCTGAGCAGGAAAAAGGGCCGGAGGGACGACGAAGACAGCAACCTTAGGAACAGACCGGCACCTCAGCGGTGAGTGGGTGACACAGGCTCCCGTGCCCAAGGCCAATGGCGGAGAAGCACCAAGTGATGGGGGAACTGCACCTGCAGGCCTAACTCGCCACCCAGAGACAAGAGAACTGGGGCTATCTAGTCGGACGTCAGCCTCCCACAACTGCAGGGGTGTAGGGGAGGAATGGGCCATTCCCCTCGGGGACCCAGCGGCACCCCAGCCCAGGGGACAGCTGCACCAGCCTCTCCCGCCCCCGCACTCCCGCGCAGCCCGGCCCCGCCCCCGCCCCCGCGGCCGTTACCAGAAGAGGCCGTTGAGCGCCGCCGCAGTGACCAGGCTGTGCAGCGGCTTCTCCCACACCAGCAGTCGCTGCGCCGCCGCCAGCACCGCTTCCCAGCCCCGGAGCCGCAGCCACAGTGCCGTGGCCAGGCGTCCTACCGCCTCGGCCGTGGCAGCCTCCTCCTCCGCCTCGCCAGGGGCCTCCCCCATGCCGAGGCTTAGACCCAAGCCCAGGCCCAGCCCCTGGCCTCCAACCGCGCCGGTGTTACCACCTCCGCCGCCGCTCGCCATAGCCCCGCCGCAGCCGCCGCCCGAGCCCGCGAGGAGCCAGGGCTGCTGCGCGGCCGCCGCCGGGGGCGCGTCAGGCGGAAGGGGGCGCAAGCTCAGGAGGCCAGAGGCTGCGGACGGCCGTCACGTGACGGCGGCGCGCCGATCCCGTCACGTGACGTAGGCTAACCGACGCCGTAGGGCGACCCGCGCATGCGCACGGCGGCTACTTATGACCCCGGCATCTACGCGGGCGAGAGGGAAGGGTGTTTGGCTGCCGGGAGTCCTGAGGCGGCGGGGTCGGGGTCCGGACGGTGGGGGCGGCCTCCGGGGACTCTGGTCCTCGCTCCAGCGTCCCGGGTGTCATTCCTGACTGCGGGCGAGGAAGTGGGCTCCCAGGCACCCAGAATCCCCTGGCCGGCAGGATCCACTTGTGTTCGTTCGGGAAGGGCGGCGGAGGCCGTGCTATTATCCAGCTCGACGCTCTGGGTCCTCCCGGTCTCCTCCCCTCAGCGGGTAAACAAACAGCAGCGCGTGACTCGGCAGCCTCGCCAAGAGCTTGGCCCGCTCCGAAAAGTTGCCTCCTTTTCCTATTCTTTCCGTAAACTTTAGAAGCTTCTTCCTTCTCCATCCCTACCATTCCTCCCCCGGAGTAAAATTGGGAGCGGGAGGTGGATTTAAAAAATTAAAGCTTGTTTAGTTGTTTTCTTCTGAGGGTGGTGGTGGAAGTGTTAGCATTGTTCTGAAACTCGCTGCTTCCTTGAGATCTTGCTCTCCACGGTGATCCTACAAAAATAAAGTGTTAAGGTTTTTAAAGTTGCACACGGCATGAATAGGCAGGTAGTAGGTTCCCCTTGTGCCCTTTTCGCGGTTCGTGTGCCCCTTCTGTAAGTTTCTGGGGTGCGCTTTCCCTCAATTGGCAGGTGCAATGCTGGGTGTGTTTGTATCTTGCCTGGCACAAAACAAATGCTCTGATCCCCGCCTAGCTTGTTCATTCTCTCCTAGGCACCGTCCCCATTTCTCTGACGAGGACCCCAGGAGTGCTCGGCAGACCTGGAGTTGGGGCGGGGAGGTTAAGGCTGGGCGGGGCGGGGCCAGCAGGAAGTGCCGACGCGCTGACGGGCTGCCGATGGCGACACCCGGCGGCTTGTAAACGCGGGCGGACGCGGCAGTCAGCCAGGCCTCCTCTGACAAGGAGAGGTGACCAGGTCCCGGTCGGAACAGGAAGAGGAGCCCATCTGCCGGGGCTCCGCCTGTCGCTGCTGCTGCTGCAGGAGGAGCCGCCGAGGGAGGGGGCTGTGCGAGCCGAGGCGCTCGGCACCCGGGGAGGCGAGGCTTCGCTGCAGGTGGGCCTGGGGCGAGGGCCGCTCTGAGTCCCTCAACTCCTTCCCTTCTACCTTTGGCAGGACGGTGGTTGGCGGCGCGCGATGGACCTGACCGGACTTCTCCTGGATGAGGAAGGCACCTTCTCCCTCACCGGCTTCCAGGACTTCACGGTGAGCATGCGGCCCGTCCCCTCCAAACCTCTGGGCTGTGGTGCTCTGGACTGGGAGGCAGTGCCTACTCCAGGCCCAGGCCGCTTGGGCCCCGAGGGAGAAACGCGGGTGTAGGAATAGGGGGATAGGGCTGGTGACAAGGAACCGTTCTTGTTGAACCTCTCTCCAGAAACCCTGTGGTAGGCGTGGGTGAGTGACTATCTGGGGGCCAGGCTGTTATTGGCAAAGGGCACGGAGCTTCCTTCTGTGCCCTTTCCCCTCCCCATGCTACTTCACCACTCTTGTTTCAGTTCCTCCCTGGACACCAGAAGCTAAGTGCCAGGATCCGAAGGAGACTCTATTATGGCTGGGACTGGGAGGCCGATTGCAGCCTGGAGGAGCTCTCCAGCCCCGTGGCAGGTGAGGAGGGGATGTGGTGTGTCCCAGCAGGTGGAAATGGGGTTCTCAGGAGCTACTGAAGTTTTTCTTGGGGAGACACCCTTAGAAGATAGCTTGTTTCATTTTTTTTTAGCCCAAGTGAATTAAAAAAAAAGTTTTGTGAAAACAGATCTGTATCATTCTCAATTTTGTATAAACACTTGATTTTCCCAGAATAACCATCATGCTTCCCAAGTAAACAAAGTGTTTATTTCTGAGATGGATGACAGTAGGAGACAGGTATGAAAACATTCCAGTGTCAGGGACATAAACTTGGCTGATGCAAGGAATTGCAATTTAAGCCTGGAATGATCTTTCTGCCTCCCAGCCTGGAAAGGTGTGACTTCTGTTTGGCTAGTTAGGGTCCTGCCTGAGAGGTCTCAGGTCATGTGGCCCTGGTCTTCTCTGAGAACATGTGGGCTGGTTGGGGACCAGATGCTCATGGCAGCTGCCTTGTATTCTTCACAGACATTGCGGTGGAGCTGCTCCAGAAGGCAGCCCCTAGCCCTGTTCGCCGACTCCAGAAGAAATATGTGGCTCATGTGTCACGGTGAGCCTGGAAGGGAGGCGGGAGAGGTTGAGAGAGGGTCAACCCCTGTGAGAGAGGGGAATGTTTATCTCCCTAAAGAGAGAGCTATGCAGACAGGGCTGTGCATCTTCCCAACTACAAGAACAGGACCCTGGGGTTTAATTATCAGGTCTTTTTGCCCCCCAGGGAGGCATGCATCTCCCCATGTGCCATGATGCTGGCCCTGGTGTACATTGAGCGCCTCCGGCACCGAAACCCAGACTACCTGCAACACGTGTCATCCTCTGACTTGTTCCTGATCTCCATGGTGAGATGCTCCCTTCCCTTCATTGCCTGGCGAGCCCAACCAAAGCACCATGTTTGCGAGCTCTCATGCCATCTCCTCTGGTTCCTCTGCAGATGGTGGCCAGTAAGTACCTCTATGACGAAGGCGAGGAGGAGGAGGTCTTCAATGATGAATGGGGAGCTGCTGGGGGTGTGGCAGTACCCACTCTGAATGCCCTGGAGCGGGGCTTCCTGCGTGCCATGGTGAGATGCTGTGCCTTCTCTTGCTCTGGCTCTTGGTCCATTGCTGCTTCCCTTTCTTCCTGGTCTCATTGTATTCTGTTTCTTATTCATTTATCTTCCTGCCCATCCTTCCACCCTACTTTGTCAGTGCTTTTTTTTTTTTCTTCCTATTCATTATCCACAACTTGTGGTGATTCCTGGAGTAGTGAGCCCAGGAGTTAGGGTTTATCCAGTCGGGCTCTGATTATTTGCTTTCAAACTTTCTCTGACCTCCCTGTGGGCACTCTCAGAGTTCATTTTCTCTCTTCACCCTTGGTGGAGGGGGTATTGGGGAGCCAGGGAAGAGGTGATTAAGTGAAGTAACCCATGGAAACTTTCACAACAGTTTCTGGGTTGTAGTAAGTTCCACAGGAATGTGGAGGTGGTGGAGGTGTGTAGTCGCTGCTGCAGCCCTGCTGAATGTCTAGCTCACGTCCAAGTCTTGTCTCTCACCCACAGGACTGGCGTCTCTACACAGACCCCCGGGAGATCTTTGAGGTGCTGAGCTGGCTAGAGTGCTGGTATGTTCCAGGGATTGGGAAGAGGGCTGAGGAGATTTCAGGTCAGAGACCTAAGGCATAGGAGCTAGAGATGAAGGATTGTAGGGGAGGGAAGAGACAAGTAAAGAGGATTCCCTGAGATCATGGTTCCCAAACTTGTCTGCCCTTCTTTGGGAGAGTAGGAGCAACTTCAGTAAAAATACAGGCATTTGGGGTTGTGTGTGAAGTTCCCACATTGGAGTTCCTAGATGTGACCTGCTTCCTTCTGCTGACTCCAGCTTCCTGCCAGTGCAGACCCTGGGAGCCAGTGGGGATGACTCATGTAGTTGGGTTCCTGCTACCCCTGTTGGACACCCGGATTAAGATCCTGAATCCTAACATTGGTCCCAGTCCAGTCCAGCCCTGGCCACTGGGACATTTGAGAACTGAACCAGTGCCCAGGAACTCTTTTGTGCCTCTCAAAACAAACAAGTGAGCGCAGGTTTGATTATCTTCATTATCTACAGTGGCAGCAGCATCACCAAGTTCCCCAGTGTTTTTTGTTGGATCCTGTGGGAGGGGAGCAGGCTGCTAGGCTGCCTAGGGAGAGTTTGCAGAATCCCTGTGTCTTCTCACTTCCTGCCAGTGTGGCTGAACAGCAGGGACGGCGGCGGGGCTGGTACACCTACACAGACCTGTGTGTGCTGCTGGAGCAGCCGACCTGGCAGCTAGCCCTGGGCTCCCTCTGTCAGCGGCTGGTAAAGGTGAGGTGGGGGCACGAGGAGGCCAGAGCACAGGGTGGTGTAGGCTTAGGGGTGGGGGTTGATAGTAGTTGGGTAGGGTGGGCTATAAAAGGCTATAAAGGAGAGCCCAACCTGAATAGACATTTCTAGAGTAGGGTGATTGTGTTCAAGACAGACAGAAACCTTCTTTTATACTTTCTCCCCTGCAGCTGTCCTGCTTGTTAGTGGTGGCATACGTGAGCAGTGTGGCCTTGGCCGTGGCATCAGTGGCAGTCATGCACCAGTCCTTAGGACTCTCTTGCAGCCCTGCACCTGGTCCTCCCAACCTTGGATTGACCTCCAGGTGCCTTTTGGAGCCCTGTACTCCTTCTCCTTTGCCGCAGTGCCTGCCGTCTCCTAACATCTCCAACTGCCTCGGAGGTGACATGGGACCGTGTTTTCTCTGGGGCAGTCTTCTGGCGCCCCTGGCTCCTCCTCCGCTGCCTCCCCCAGAACCTCCTGCCCCTCCCACTCTTCTTTATAACTGCCTCCTTTGCCAGAAGCTCCAGAGAGACTCCCCAATTTGCCAGGCCTGCCACCATCTCAACCACACACTTGCCGCCAGACCTCCGGACACTGAGTACCATGCCCCTGGCCCAGCCCTGGCCTGGCCCTGGAGCCCAGAATCTCCAACGCTTGCCCAGTCCCAGCAGTGTTCATTGTGCAGTGTCATGGAGCTGTCCCGCCTCAAGTCTTTTATTTTTCCAGGCTAGGTAGGTCTCCAAGGAATGCCTTACGAGGATTTGGGAGTCTCTTAAGAACCTGGAGGAGCAAAGCTTGACTTCGAGCCTCCCTACCTCTTTGGGTCCTTGGCTGGTCCCCTGTCCTCCTGGGGAGGAGCTAACATGATTATGGGGCAGACGGACTTAAGGTCATTAGGTGGGTCACCCCTGCACCTCAGAGGCTGGCTGCCTGGCCAGACAGTGATGATGCCAAGGAAAGCTCCAGCTCGGTGACCACCAGCATGCCACAGATGAACAGAGGAAAGACTCCAACTTGACCTCCCCCGGGCTCTTCTAAACTTGTGCTTTTGAGTTCCCTAGGATGAAAGGAGCAGTGTGGGAGGTAGGGGCATTGGGGTAAGAGGAAGAAGTAGCCACTGGCCTAGGCCTATGTGAGGTCCCAAAGGCAGGAGAGCCAGGGACTGATGGGGTCAAGGTCAGAGCTGCTGGAGGAAGTGTGAGTGAGTGAGGTTGGCACCATCTCCCTACCCAGCCCCTGCCTGTAATCTAATGGAGCCATGAACTGCCAGGACCTTTAGTCTTAACCTTGTGTTCCAACCATACTGCCCCACTCCTAGGCTTCCCCCTCTTGTGGTTCTTCTCTGGGATGATCTATCCACAGCCCTCTTTGTATCTGGGTTTTTCACGCTTTTGTAGAACTGAAGTTTCAATAAACAGTTTCAGTTGCATGGCCTGACCTTTTTCTTCTGCAGCAGTTCTTATAGATAATCCCTACTCTTAACTGCTTTCCCAGCCCCTCCCTCTACTCTCTGATCTGGTCACCTTGCGTGTCCTTTTCTATGAGCCTCATTCCAGAACTTCCCAGATGTCTGGTATCTATCATAGGTTCCCATTTCAAACTGCCCCTCATCTCTGCTCCTGCACCTTAGGGCCTTGGTTCTCATTCACTTGGAATGCTGTTTACATAAGTACTTGGTGCCTGTCCCATGCTTGGCTAGCCTTGCTGAATGTTCTGTATGAGCACCATCCTTGGATCCTTAGCCCAGCCCTGTATCCAGCAGAGCCCCCTCGGCTCTTTAGGGACAACCCCCCAAGGACCTCTCTGCTGACCTAATACATGGAGGAAGTCAGTGATGTTACAGGAACTCCAAAACTGACTCCTCACTGGAAGGATGGAAAACAGCTCCTGGACGAGAATGTTTGGGACTGCTGAAGGTCATCCACAGCAGGTGTGGTACTGCCCCCTAGGGGACATTTTGGAAATCAGAGGCCATTTCTTCATTGTTGCAAGGATTTGTGGGGGTGCTACTGGCATGTAGGCGGCCTGAGCTGGATGTTAGACAGTCCAGGACCTCACTTTCTATGAAGACAACTTTCAAACCATTGACTGGTCACCATGTGTATGAAAATCCTGTGCAGATGTATCTGAGCCTAGAATTTTCACATGGTAGAATCAAATCATCTTGGACCCAGCGTAGTGGCCTAGCAGCTAAAGTCCTCGCCTCGAATGCGCCAGGATCCCATATGGGTGCTGGTTCTCATTCTGGCAGCTCCACTTCCCATCCAGCTCCTTGCTTGTGGCCTGGGGAAGCAGTCAAGGACAGCCCAATGGTTTGGGCCCCTGCACCTGTTTGGGATACCCGGAAGGAAGTTCCTGGCTCCTGGCTTCGGATTGGCCCAGCACTGGTCGTTGTGCTCACTTGGGGAATGTTCATCGGATGGAAGATCTTCCTCTCCGTCTCTCCTCTCTGTATATCTGACTTTGTAATAAAAATAAAATAAATCTTGAAAAAAAAACCAAATCTTTGCATATTCTGAAAAGTTTACTACATATACACCTCCCCAGAAATTAAAACTGTTTTGATCAGTACTTTCCCAAGAGTTTGTTCACTGTTTTGGAAAAATCAGTTCGCTGTTGTCAGCACTGCTGATGGTATCTGAATTCCCAGTAAAGCACCAGTGTCTGCTGGCCTTGCTGCCTTCACGTCCATGGTCATTCTGCATATGATTGTGGGGATGGAATTTAACACATTGTCTACTGATTTGGTTGTGCTCAAGCTTTCACAGTTTGTAATACAAGTTACTGAAAACAACTTATTTTTTTTTATTTTTGACAATCTACATGGTCAATTAGGGCACAAAGTTTCAAGGGTTACAGGAAAGTGGGTAAGACTATTATTTCCACATTCTCTCTCTCTTTTTTTTTTTTTTTTTGGATCTGGGGTAAATGGGGAGATAAAGGGAGAAGCCCCACCCCCACCCAGCCTCCCATCCATCCCAGGCCTCCCATCCATCCCAGGCCCCCGATGTGGGGCATGCTCTGAGGGTCCTGCTCATGCAGTTTTGATAGTTTATTAGTGGTCATATGGGATAAGGGAGAAGTATTGAGCTTATCAACAAACCCATCAACTGTTTCTATACTTTTGTTTGAAACTCCTTTTGTTTTGTATATTGTACCAAGTGTTCTCATTCACATGCTGTCCACTCAACTGTTCTCATACAAATGATATCCAATCAGTTATACAAAAGGTATCCATTCAGTTGTTATCATACAAATGTTGTCCAATCAACTGTAATCCTGTGCTTGCTGACCTTCCGGGGTCACAATGTCCTCAATGCCACAATGTCCACAATGCCAATCTCGTCATTCCAAGCATGATGAAGTCACTGCAGAATCCACTGATTGAGATAGTCCACCTTAGAGTCTCCGTTTGCTCAGTTTTTCACTGCCAACACATGGCTAGAGCAGTTGGTTAGTTCTGTCCTCTGTTACGGTGCCAGGTATCCTCTGCAGGTTCCAATAGACCTCTGCGCACACCTGATTGTGTTTCCACTGCTCCGTCTGAGCCTCTGAAGAGGCTCGGCTCTGGCATTTGTACTCCATGGCAGACCATGGAACCTGCACTTCCCTTCATGGTTGGGGGTTCTCATCTGGCAGTTCAACTGGGGAGAACCCCAAAGAAACTTCATCTGAAGTGATCCCAGACCTGATTTTTGTGTGTACTTGCAAGTACAGGGCCCGGCACAGTCCATTGCCCCAATCAGCTGGTGGTTGCAATTGCTGGGTCAGTTCTGTTTCCAACCCTGTCTTCACTGGAAACAATGGGTTATGTAGTCCAGCCTGATGCTGCCCAGCACACACTTGGTCCTCACATAAACCGGTGGGAGCTGCTGCCTAGTTTGAGCGACCCACAATAACCCCCACCAGGCCTGCCCCCTACCCTGGTTCCCGTGCTTGTCAGTATGTATAGTAGGCTAGTCCATTCAGCTCTCATACATGTCGATGGGTATTGAAGCCTAGTTCAACCCAACTAGCTCCACTATCCAGTCCACACACATGCTTGTGGCTGCCATTCTGTCCAGCCATCCCCTCCCCTATCCTGGTTTTCATGCTCTCCAGTGTGAGTGGTAACCCAAGAGGGAGGTGCCCACTATTTCCCTCCTAGGCCACTCCCGCTCCCGAATCATACACTTTCCAGATGGTTCTGTAGTTTAACTTAACAGATTAGCCACCAGTGCCAGCATCTGCTATCTGATGCTACAGCAAAACCCAACCAACCCTGTCCCATTCTGCTTTATGTTTGCACCAGTAGGGACAGTCAACCAAGCCTGGCTCTTCCCTGATCTAGCTCACATGAGGCCCACAGATGTTGTAGCCTTGCCTGATCTGGTCTGCCCCCATCCCAACTCATACTCTTCAGTGCACAGGTTGTTCCAGCAGGGGGGCCCTTCATATTCCCCCTACCAGCTTTACCCCCTCCCTCCCTGGTTCCTACTAGCGCTGCATCCCAGTCTGGCATGAACCGCCTCACCTTGGCATTTGCTAATGGGTGCTGTAGCCTGGCCTGGCCCACCCCCAATTCTAGCTGGTGAGGATTACAGTCTAGACCAGCCCAGCGTGTATTCAATCCCAGCTGTAATGTGTATTGGTATGTGTTGCGACCATACCTGGCCTGGCCCACATGCTGTTCTGGTGTTCGGATTCACCAGCAGTTGATATAAAGGGGTTCAGCCTGGTCTGCCCCTGACCTGTGCCAAATGTATGCCTGTGAGTACCTGGTCTGATCTGTTCCTTATCGTGCTTCTTGCACTCACCTGCAGGGACTGTGTCCTGCAAGAGAAATTGCCCAGGCTCCTCCATCAAAACCTCTCCCAATGCCAGATTTTTCACATATTGGTGGGTCTGTGAGCCAACCTTACTCGGTCCACCTTCTGTCCTAGCAGGAACAGTGGCCTTTCCTGACTGGCCTTCAATCCATTCTGGTTCTTTTTTTTTTTTTAAGATTTATTTATTTATTGGAAAGTCAGATATACAAAGAGAAGGAGAGACAGAGAGGAAGATCATCCACCCGATGATTCACTCCCCAAGTAAGTGCAATGGCCGGTGCTGCGCCAATCCGAAGCCGGAACCAGGAACCTCTTACGGGTCTCCCACGTGGGTGCAGGATCCCAAGGCTTTGGGCCGTCCTCAACTGCTTTCCCAGGCCACAAGCAGGGAGCTGGATGGGAAGTGGAGCAGCCGGGGTTAGAACCAGTGCCCATATGGGATCCCGGCGAATTCAAGGAAAGGACTTTAGCTGCTAGGCCACGCCGCCAGGCCCCATTCTGGTTCTTATTATTGGATGTTTCAGCCCAGCCAAGACTGCTCCATACCCAAACACATGAAACAAAATAAACAACAGGGAGAAAAAAAATTAACAACAGTTTGAAGTTAAATAACATGCTACTGAATGACTAATGTGTCGCTGAAGAAATGAAAAAGAAATGAACTTGTAGAAAGACATTATGACCCTGGAAGGTCAGCAAGCACAGGATTACAGTTGATTAGATAATATTTGTATGATAACAACCGAATGGATACCTTTTGAATAACTGATTGGATATCATTTGTATGAGAACAGTTGAGTGGACAGCATGTGAATGAGAATACTTGGTACAATATACAAAACAAAAGGAGTTCCAAACAAAAGTATAGAAACAGTTGATAGGTTTGTTGATAAGCTCAATACTTCCTCCCTTATTCCATAGGACCGTAGGTGTCTAAAGTCTGATGCCACTAATAAACTTCGGCTATTAACGTCAGTAGTCCACCTGTCCTCTGTGCACCAAGTCCATTGCTGCAGGACAGCGACAAGAACCTTCTTGAAGAAAATGATGCTTCTGTGGGATCTATGAGTCACTGAAGAATTTAATCAGAAGAAAGTGTTGTGAAGAGATGAGAATAACAGAAAACATCAAAATCTAAGAGATACAGTTTCTGCTGATCTTTGTGGGTGAAATGTGTCTTCTGCAGGCAACAAATAGATGGGTTTTGTTTTTTAATACAGTCTACTAATCTATGACATTTAGTTGATGAGTTTAAGTCATTTGCATTCAGGGTTAGTACAAATAGGTGGTAATTTGGTCCTGTCACTTTAGCAATGGGTTGTTCATTGACTTAAGTCTTCTGCTGTTATTTTACTGGGATGTTCTTTGCATTTGCCTTTGGTTTTGGTGGGCGTTATTCCTTTTCTCTGTCAAGAGAACATCTTCAAGTATCATTTGTAAGGCAGGTTTGGAAGAGGCATATTTTAACTTTTCTTGACTGTGGAAGAATTTTATTTCATTTTTTAAAAACATTTATTTATTTTTATTGGAAAGTCAGATATACATAGAAGAGGAGAGACAGAGAGGAAGATCTTCCATCCGATGATTCACTCCCCAAGTGAGCACAATGGCCAGTGCTGTG